CGTGAATTACGATTGCACTCTCGTCACCGATCTTTTCGTTCACAGCTCAGAAATGCTGAGGGATTGCATTTGTAAGATTCTTGAACAACCTTTTGATGCATGCACTTTGAGCCAATTTTTTCTTTTTTGCTGTTACGGCTGCATTACACCGAAATGAGTCTTCCTTCTGTGTCTGTTATGCGTTTCTTTGTTTCGAAGGTCAAAGAGTTTTTTTTCAATACATATCTGTCTCTGTACTAAAAGGCATGTGTGATCTCATATGCGGTCTCTAAACTTGTGTCCCATTAATCTCGCTGGTGCTGCTGCCTTCACGACATCAAACACAGCTTCCCTTCTCAGTCGGCCACCGATCCGCACGTGGGGAGCGAGTGTCTCTCCCCGTCCTCTGCTCTTTCCTCAGTCCAACACAATCATTCCCATCCTGTCCACACTGCCTACTCAATCACTGTTTGAGTCTTAAAAGCTAGTTTCATCCATATTGCATGTTATCGATTCTCCTGAACAACCCTTTTAGGCTCTCCCTGCCCAAGTCTCTCACATGTGTATTTCACCTTTATTCATTTGTGGATGCATCCGTGTATGTGTTACCTTGGCCTAACTCGGAGTATCTGTCACTGCCTCGGGGACATCATTGCTCATGTAAGCATAGAGCCACTTTGGCTTTAACTCTTATTCTATATTACTTAAACATACCTTAGTATTTTGACGATAGATGCGGGGGGGAAACATCTGGAGCTGCTACATTGATGGAGGAATTCCTCCATCAATGTAGAGACTACATTGATGGAGGAATTCTACTACATTAATATACTCAAACGTGTATTGAAAAGGCATCTGCAGTGGAATTCAACTGAGTGGAAATTTGACAGTCATCCAACGCCCTGACAAATTAATTCCAAAATAAACATCTGTTTAAAAATCATATATATTTTTTATGGAGCAGCTACACTGAGATTACATGAAGATATTACCAAGATGCATATTCGAAGGGGATTCACGCAATGTGACACTGCCTCACTGCAGTTCAAACTAATAAACCCCACTGAGCTGTATCGCTCTTTTTAACAAGCGATCTGGCCATAAATGAAAGCTCAGCAAAGTGGCTTATCATGCGGACATTTATAGCTACCAAATAATCTCAATGCATATTTTTATATGTGGAGGGAAACCCTGGAGGACCTGGATAAAAATCCACACGACCACGGGGAGAACATGCAAACTCCAAATATACAGGGTCAGGATCGAACCCATGATCTCCTGCGTACTAGGTGAGGTAGTTAACATCTCGCCACCGTGACACCCCAAGCATCAATATGAGAATCTGTTTTCCGAAAAGTAGATTGGACAAAAGACGAAACTATCGATTAAATTACCTTAACCTTCTCATATTTGCTGACGCCATAGCCATTACCAACATGCAAAAACTAGTCAAGGCCACTTAACCTTAAATCAGCCAGTCACAACTGACAGACAATCTATACTCTACATGGGCATATAGATTAATGTGTTAATGTGTCCGGACAATGGCAGGCCCGCAAACCAGGTGATTCAGATTCACATAAATGCACTGTGAATTGCCATACAATGGTAATTCAGAATTCTCATGGTGGTGATAAATACGTTATAACGCATTTGGATTTATAGAGCGTCTAAATGCAACCGCAGCTCAAGATGCTTCACGAATAAAATATGACGTGCATTACGGAGACCACGGGAGAAGGAGATTCATATCCTTTTGTATCTAAGGTGTGAATGTCGGTGTTTCATAGTCATTGGTAAAAAGACAAGAGGAATTTCTTGAGCTTGGATGTGAACAGGGGCAGAGTTGACAGTTCATGTACTAAAAAGCCTACAAAGTAGTTAATATTTTATAAATCATGGAAGGATGATTGGTTCAGTCTTCTCCCATAAGTAATTGAACTCACTTGCTTGCGATTGCGAGTCGGTCTGCCTTCCACAATCCAGGCTTTTGCCGTTCTGTAGGAGAGGTAGACCAAGGAAGGTGGGAAATTAAAGAGAGCGCTGCTTTTTATTTAGTAGGTATTTCCACTACATCCTGGGGCACTTCTGATTCCCGTGTGTAAATGGTCAACCCGAGGCACTCGCCGCCATGAACATAAATTCAAGCCAGGGCCCTCCATGGGAGAGGTTCCGCTGACGATGAGCAAGTGAAACCGCATGTGCAGATGTGGCAGCAGCAGGAGGCAAACATGGCTAAGCTCACAGCACCCGAGAGTACACGTCAAATAGCACGCACGTGTGTGTGTGTTTGTACACGTGGGGGAGCGACAGCGTAGTGGTTAGCGTATTGTGCCACGAATCTGGTGAGCTGATTTCGGTTCTCGTTTGTGGTCACCATAAGTTGCAAATGTGAAATATCTCAAACAGTCCTGGGCCCTTCCCGAAGGTCGACTCGGTCCCAAATGAGTACCTCGTGCGGTGTGTAAACATCAGCAACTGGGAAAACAATGGCGGTCAAGTGTGGGGGTTGCCACACTACCCCATTCCTGTATTGTGCCGGCCTTCATTGGTGCTCACTGACAGCACTTGCCCCAACGGCCTGAAAAGACTATGCAGGGTATCTTTGTCTCTGTGCGCACATGTACGTGTTACGTGTACATGTTACGTGCGTTCAGCGAGGACTTCCGTTGGAGCAGGAGTTGAAAAGTTAGGAATGGCATCGCGATGCAATTCAGTGGGACGTTTGTTTGTTTGTTTCACATCTATGAATCTTTAATATCATTATCGTGATCGTTATTGTGACTGTCAACGGGGTTAATGGGATGCCATTCGTAACCTTGAGAAACCGCCACTCTGCTATGGGTCTTGCTCACCCGCCCTCCTCCACTCTGCACACAGCTACAATCGTTTACTTTCCAAATTGTGTTCTGAACTTCCAAGCTGCTTGCCCCCTATCTCCATGTGTGCACTTACACTGAAGTACCATAAGCTTATATTGATGTTATTTTGTAAAAAATGTCAACTGTCTGATCATGACAGGCGCATAGACATCATTCTTAAGCACGAAGGACTGGTATATTTACTACATGAGGCCAGGCCTTCGAGAGGGATTTCCAAATGTATAAAATTATACATGACATAAGTAAATATGGAATTGCTACTTGTTGGACCGTGTAGTTGAATTGAGCATGATTTATATTTTATTCACACAGGTTCCGAGAAACTTTTCTTGCAATACATTTTTAGCATGAAAAAAATAAGCCCGTAAATTACAATGCAGAACGCTTCAGCCAATGTGCTGCTTCCTGTCCATATCTGTGACTCTGTGTGCATATTCTTTATTGTAATGCTGCCAGCAAATGGCAGGGTACTGTCCATGCATCTTGATACTGCTGAAAGGCAAATACATCTTAAAAATACTTAAATGTTCTGTACCACACACAAACAGATTTAAATTTTCCTACCTGAAATACTTGCAATACAAAATGCAATACTCATAAACGTTATATTTTATTTTATCTGGTGTGAAATATGAGCCACATGTTAGATCAAAGGTGCATGTCAATGAAGGTAAATTAGGTGTTATATTGCATTTGATGTGGCATTGTATAAACAATTATTTTAGCCTCACATAGTGCATACTGGTTTTTTGCATTTAACATCATGACAACCAACTGGCATTGTTTATGAAGCTGCACTCTGCTGACGAGACTGAGTGATGTCAAAACCTACTGACAAGTTGCCTTGTTTCTGCAAACGATACCAAGAAACATTCATCTGGGAGGAGGCAAGCCTGGTCTCTGATTAATTAAATGTTATTCAGTATAAATTATTTTAACAAAATCCATCAATCATGTACACATTATTATCGTTTATTTAATTTAGTACTCCTAATGAAACATTTTCGCTGGCAGATTAAAATGTCCATAGCATTAAATGTATTTAGAATTAGCTGAGCCTTTACAAGCCGATGTGTCATTCGTGGGCACAGGGTTTTAGCATGCTTGGAGTTATTTCCTGCATTCATGTTGAGCAACGAAGTCTCCATCAGTGTGTATATTTTCGTTGCTACTCGCTGCTGCGCTGAAGACAATCCAGTCTCGCGAGCACTCCGCCGCATCTTTAACCCAGTCAGTTCTCAAGTGTGATAAGGCCCAGCGGTAGTGTGTATTCAACTTGTTGCAGGAGGTTCACAGTCGAATCCAGTGACCAACCGGATTTGTTTACCTTTCCTATACTTTGCACTCCTGTCGTGCCTTTGTATTGTTTGTTATTTGTAACGTTCTGACCCGCCCCCTTACTGGACATCTGTGAATAAAGCGCTTTACATCTCATTGGATTCGTCCAGTCGAAATACATATTCTGATTCTGATTTCGATTTAAAGCTTTCGTGACTGCAGGGATTCATCTTCTTGGTTCTTTCGGTAAAGTCACGTAGAAGGGAAATAAACTCCCTCCCTTTGATGCTGCTAATCCTGCATAATGCACGGGCATAATATGACTTTAAACCCCCCGCCAAACCTCCTACGCATTTCACAAGTAGTACTAATTGCATATCTGCATTTCCCATAAATATGGTAAAATTCCTCTTGATATGCAAATTATTTTGTCAAGGCACCCGTCCCCCTCCATCCCAGCTTAAATAGACGCTCCAAGCTTGGGTTGTGTCATTCAGACTGTCTTCTCGACAGACATGTTCTTCACCTGAGGACGGCTGCTTGCGTTGTGGCCGAAACGTCGTGATAATTATTTTATTATGTTTAACTTTTATTATTTTATTATTTCCCTTCTACGTGACTTTACCGAAAGTACCAAGAAGATTCTGATTGTCACGCCCTCGTGCTCTATTGTGCTCTGCTGTGCAGTGCTTCTATGTGACTTTACCGAAAGAACCAAGAAGATTCTGATTCTGATTGTCACGCCCTCGTGCTCTGCTGTGCTCTGCTGTGCAGTGCTTCTATGTGACTTTACCGAAAGAACCAAGAAGATTCTGATTCTGATTGTCACGCCCTCGTGCTCTGCTGTGCTCTGCTGTGCAGTGCTGCGACCTGGGCTACCACGCGAGCCTGAACCGCGCACTGCGCACGTACCTCTCGGCTGAGTACAACCTGGAGAGCTCACGCCACGAGGGCCTCGACGTCATCGAGAACGCCGTGGACGGCCTCGACCCGCGCAGCGACAAGCTGCGCTTCCTCGAGACCTACCACACCTTCTTCTGCCCGCCCACTAAGTTCGAGTTTCAGCCACACATGGGGGACGAGGTAATTCAGCATCGTGCAGTATCTTCAACCCTAGTAAACACCCCCCCACCTCTCACCGAGATCACAAGACTGTGTTTGTTTTTTCTCTGTGCAGGAGGTTTTTTGCCAAGTGTGTTGCGTTTAGGGGGCAGTGTTGCTAGGTGCCATCCCGATTTAGCAATCGGTAGGCAATTATTCATGATTGGAATGTTCCGCCAATGCCAGTTACATTATGTTTGTTTTTATTAAGCTTTCGGAGGAAACCCATGCAGAACAGGGGGAGAAGATACAAACTCCACACAGAAAAACGCCCGAGTCTGGAATCGATCCCAGGCCCTTGGTGTGAGGCACAAATACCTTGCCGCTGGTGATCTATATATATTAAAGGGAAATTTGTGAATGTGTGTCTGTTCGAAATGTTTAGCATACTTACCAACATGCAACAAACTTGAAATTTGCCATGTGGGTAGCTTCCAGACTGTACACAATAAAAAAACAGTCTAAAAATAAACTTGTATTTTGGGGGGGTGGGGGCGCAATAATGGATATATTTTGCACGGCAAGTGAGCGGTGACGTCACATCTGTGATGTCACCCGCATGCGGCAGCGTCACGCAGTGTGCCTGGTGACGTCACACATCCCCCCCCCCCAACCCTCCGCGTAGGTTGTGTATCCTGCACAAATGCGCGGCATCGCTGTCTCGATATTCTAAGTCAACGCGACTATTTGCAGCTCGCTCTTAAATTTTAAGCAGAAGATTCATCTGTTTGTGTGAAGCAGCAAAAACTCTCGAACGCTGAGCTCTGACGTCATGAAATTTGCACAGCTGATGCTGTCTGAAATTTCTAAGGGAACGTGACTATTTTCAGCTCGCCGAGTTGCCTAAATCGACCTTACGTGTAAGTGGGTTAAGGTTGAATTTCCTTTAGTGAAAAACATCCAGTTTAGTGAAATTGATTTGTTTCGGCTTTTTTATTTCTTGCAAGCATACATTTTTTTGGGGTTTTTTTCAGTGAAATATAAGGGAATTTGAAATTAATCCAAGGCAAGAATCCAAGTCCCGGGCGAAGCCGGGTAGTAAAGCTAGTCTATTAATATATAAAAGCACATATAAACTGAACTATGACCACATCTACAGAAATGTTGTGAAAAATGAGAGAATTTAGAGAAATTTGGCAAAAATTCTTATTTTCCGGATTTTGCTCTTGGTGGCTTTCAGATGTGTCCACATGTTCACATGTTTCCACATTTAAACAAAATTACTTGCAGGGAGAGATTTTATCGTAGCAGTACGTGATCTGTGCTGTAGCTAAAGTGATTTGCAGAACAATGCAAATACTTATTTTGGGCAGGTCATAAAGCCTTGTTTCATCAAGGTCTCCATCATTGCATTGTATGTTAGGCCATGGGTTTTTCGATAGCATAGACGGCTTAAATCCTCATGTTGTGTGTCAACTCGGAATGCTGCCAACAGAAAAAAACTGAACACATTCTGCCAATCACACCGTCTTCTTCGCTGCACATAGACAGGCCAGAGAAGTCGACTCAACCCATGCACTTTTTATTTTTAAGGCAGTGCTCTCGACGAATTTTTTGGTATTCTTTTCATGTGTTATTTGTGTTTGTGCACCATTGCCTACAGGGTTAGTAAAAAGAGTATCGCTTTGTGGAAGGTCAAAAGCTCCTGTCACATTGAAAAACTGACCCTCACTGGATGAAATGGAAAAAAAGGCCAAAAAAGCAAAAAAATTCAACTTTTTTTGAAATGTAATTTGCATCTTTAAATAGCAGGATCCACACAACACTATGTCATGTTGTAACATAGGAAGCCAGCACATCTGTTGGCACGAATTCTACATCCCGTGCATGCATTCCCTGCAATTAAAACCGCCGTTTGTTTTGCCAAGTGCAATTAGATGATTGTGTTGAGTGTACTCATTGAAACATCTCCACATGGCCATGCTGCGAGAGATCGCTGTAATTAATTCCTCAACAATTGACACAGACCCAAAAAAAAAACACGCGAGAAAAAAAAATTGTGTTCTGCGCGTTCTCCATTAGCAGAGTATATGTTATCGTTGTAAAATATCTGTTCAGGATGTGGACCTTGTGGACACGTGTTTCTCGATAGGTTTGCCTCTAGCTGGCGTCGCATTCAGTCCGAGGGGTGTCTTGCAAAAATTATGGATTTGGCGGTAATTTTTTTTTGGACCTGTCAGCTTTGCCATATGGTAATTGTTATACTTTTCCTCTTTAGCGATTGACCTTACTGAACGGTATCGTATGCTTGCCTTTCATGGCCTATTGTGGTATCCCGTGCATGCGAGAGTGTGTGTGTGTATATACAACCCGAGATCGATTCCCACTCACGGCCAACACCAGTGACGATTAGCTGGGGGGACAAAGGCATCCGGGCGTGCTGCTGGCCACCTTCATATGTGCTCGCTAACAGCACTTGCCCTAACAGTCTGTTCAGGCTCTACGGGGATCTTTGTCCTTGTACGTGTAAAACCATGCACATAGCCTGCCACAAGTGCCATGGTGATGTCGCTGCCACTTTATGGCGAATGCCGGTTATTTTGTATGGAGCTGCGTTGTCGTGGTTAGGATATTGTGATATTATTCCAGCGAACGGGACTCAATTCCCAGCCATGAACATCAATGGTCAGTATTTACTGAATGTTATTGGCCTCCCATGGATTGGCTCAGCCTTAAATAAGTGCCTGGTGCAGTGTGCCATGCTTATCTCATGTGTTCACAGTCTATGCAATTGTAGGGAGCTGCTCCCTCGGAGTCATGATTCTGGAAATGCAGCTTTGATTACTGGCCATGTATATCACCAGTGGCAGCTGGCATGTGAATCTTTCGTGTGCCTCCCCTAAGTAAACTTAATGTGACCCTGAAAACAATGACAGTATGCTCCAGCCGTAAAATGTTGACCTGTCATGTACAATAATAATAATAATGATGGTAATGTTTAGAGTTATGCAGTATCATTCATACAAGTAGCTTTTCACAATCGCTGAGGAACTGGAGACATGCTGGAAGGCAGCCTGGTGGTGAGGTGGCATCAACGACAATCAATGTGTGGCCAGGTCGCTTCTGAAAATGAAACTCGTAGCTCAGTGGGCTTTACCTGGTAAAATATAAATCGTTTTTTTGCTGATTTGCTTAGCATTCCTGTACTTTGCACTCCTGCCCTGTTTTTTTTGTAATGACCCGCCCCTACTGGACATCTGTGAAAAAGAGCTTTGTAGCACATCGGATTAATAAAGATCCCGAGTATGATGTTTTTAGCCACACATACATATATACAAACAAGCAAAGTCAAAATGATCAACTTGTTCAGCCCTCTGTAATGATGAGCACCTTACTTGTCGTACTACAAGCTGTGTCTGTTTACATTGAATTGTTTGAATGGATATAAGCAATTTCCAGGCGTTCGGAGAATCATATTCGCATGCACTATCGCGTCCTGTAGTCGTTGCCAAGCGGTTAAGAGAATTCTAGCCTCCAGATGAGCAGTAAAAGTTACCCCTCCTCATATAACAAGAAAAAAAGCCGCTATACAATGCCACATGTCCATACCTGCCCTGCATTCCTTTTTACCAACAGGGACTTGACTCAAGGTCCATCAAGCACGCTAATTCAGGTCATTATGCTTGAGTTCTGACTCTAGGTCTGTCATCACCCACTCAATTCTGGGCCCTGTTGGTCCTTAAGCACGTATGCTTATCATAGGTCGTGGTGGCAAATGTGGTCCTGACAGGCAGGTTCCGTTTCTAAGGGCCTTGGTACAACTTATGGCCTTAATCATAGTTTCGCTATGCTAAATCTTCAAAACTACTGATGTAGAGCTTAAGTCTTTGGTGAGCTTGGTGAGCTGAAGCATGTGATGTGTTAAAGGTCGCTGCGTTTTCCCTACTCGAACTAGTTCTGCATATTCCATGAGCAGCCCTAAAGCACTTCCGTGTGGCAAATAGGTGCTTACTAGCTATGATTGATTCTGTGATGCATTTTTACTGTTAATCCAGCTCATAGGCACTGTGGTTAGAACACTTGACTCACAAATACAAAGTTTCTGGGTTCAAATACCATTTTGGAGACGAATCATTCTGTAGAATTTGTACCTTTTGGTTGAGAGTTGAAAGTGGTTGTCCTCATGAAAAACGATCCTTGCCATAGGAATGTGGGATGTCCACCACTGCCTCACTGCAGCCACAGAGAGTGAGTGGTCCCGTATTTAACTTTGGAGGAGGAAGAAGACGCTTGGCCTTGACTTTGATTGCTGCACTGTTATGGTTTACAAGGATGTTTTTGGGTTGGTATTCCTAGGTCAGGGGTCGGCAACCAAAATAACAAAAAGAGCCATTTCTTTCCAATTCGGTACAAAATTCAGTATTTCAAGAGCCGCAATGCATATGAGTACATACTGTACATACGTACATATCGTCAAGAAGCAGCCCGTAAAGAGCCGCATGCGGCTCCGGAGCCGTAGGTTGCCGACCCCTGTCCTAGGTCAACCTCGAGAACAATACACAGGTTAAAGACCTGTGTTAATGTTCACAAACGTATGTATGTTGGACTTCTTTTGCACTGTACGTAGCCAACCCTGCTAATCAGAGGTGCGGGGGAAGGACAACAAACTAAACACAAAAGATAGTTCTAAATAAATTAGTTTTAAATCTAGATTTAGAAGTGCATAGCTCCAGTGGCTTCCTAATATCAGAAGGAAGAGCGTTCCACACGGCCGCAGAAGCGCGTCTGAAAGCACGCGATGCGGTGACCGTCTTTGTTTGATGGCTCACCAAAAGCTGCTGTTGCGAGGATGACCGGAGTTCACGTGATGGTTTATGCTCCTTGACGAGATCAGCGAGGTGTTGTGGTTCATTTGTGGCAAGCACTTTGTGTAATGAGTGCGACCTTCCAAAATTGTCAGATTTAATACATCGTGTGCAGATATTCTTGGGTCTTTCGGTAAAGTCACGTAGATAGGTTCAAAGAAAATAACAAAAAAACTA